TGTTGTTCTCTTTCTTACATCTTGAGAGTGTCAACGAGGCATAATATCCTATTTACTTGCTGTAAATTTTCTATAATATTTTTGAATAATGTCATTTTCATGAATTTTTTTTTTGGTTATATGTTTTTACCAAATATCCCTTCACTTTATTCCATGCTATGTTCTTCTAGATAGAATAGGCAACAAGAAAGTGTCGATAGGTACAAATAGGGATTCTTCTGATTCTTTTGTACCATATAATCAATCGTTGGCTAGTTTCCACTATTTTTTTACATTTGGGATACTGAAACCAGAACTTCCTTAGGCCAATAGCATCAAACACTTTGCTCAGACCTCTTGGTGAGGTAACATAGTCTTCAATGCTAATGGTAACAATTTCTGATAGGTTCACTTTAAGAAATGCTTGAGCCTCTTTCAAAACATTAATTGCAGGTTTGCTGATATAAACAAAAGAAAAAAAAAACTCATCCATTAAGATTATCGTCAAAAACCAAGTTCATATAAAATACATGAAAACTTACAATATGCAAAATTTTGAGACTAAAATACATTAAATGAATTATGAAAGCTTTCTAGCTTAGTTGAAATTCGTTACTTTGCTAGTTTTTTTAAGAATAGTTAGGCTTCAAGGTTACATGTGGCTAAATTGTTGTTTTTCACTTTTGTTAGTAAAGGGGTTCTTACGTGAAAAAAGGCCATGATAATGATTGTTGAGGTTTTGAATAGCAACTTGAAGCATCGATTCATGGACAAGAAGTAAGTTTCTCTTTTCTAAATAATTTTATCTTGATTATAATTTATGTTATTGTAAGAATTGCATAAGGATTAAGAGTTATGATAAGCTGACAATAATCTTTTAGTTGTTTTGTTAAAAAAAAAAAAAAAAGTCACATTCAACTGTAGGTGAATGAATTTTAAATTTTGTGTTTAATTTACACCTATTACTTTTGTTTGAATGAATTTTTTTTCTTTTGTGACTTTCTTTTAGTTATTTATGTAACATTTTTATTTTATTTTCTATCATTGCTTTGGGATTTTACATTGTTTCTTTTATGCTTGAATCAGTATGAGCAAATTAGATTTTTTCTAAATTCAACAACTTCTTTAACTGTACTCGATTATTTTGCATATATAGTAGTACAGTAAGGTTATCATTAGATACTCTTCTTTGTTGTTTATTCATGGCAGTGTGTAAGAACGTATGGGCAAATGTGCATGCATACAAATGCTTGCATGTTGTCTTATTTATAACATTTGTCTCTTAATATCTTTCGATAATGCATTTTGATCTTTTAGAATCTAATTTGATTAAGTGATATTTCTTTAATTGTCTTTGTGAATATCTTGCTTGCCACTATTTGTAATTACAAAAAGTTTAATGTACTAAAATTTTGTGCAAGAGGTCTAATTTTCTGTGAAAAGAAGCTGAGATAATAGTAGAAGAATTAATTTTATTGGCAAGGCAAATAGTACATTTACTTGCATTTGTCTTTAGTTTTCATTTATTTAGGAAATTCATTGTTCTAAATATTGATGTATATGGATTTGTTTTAGACTTTCAATTTATTTTTTCTATCTATATTAGAATTTTATAAATTTTAAGTTACAATACAAGTCTAAATCATCGAAATGGTTGTTTTTGTCAAGAGACTTGATAAAAAAAACATTTAGTGATTTTTGGACTTGAGGGGTTTTATGGCCAAAATTATACAAAATTCAACAATGGATAACTTAACTTTTCTTCAATTCAAGCATACCATGATAGCATTTGTTGTTGATTCAGTAGTGATCGAATGAAAAAAAATGACATGAGAAATTCAGATGATCCAAATAAAAAGCCGATGATTTTTTTTATAAGACATCATTACACAAATTAAATAAATTGGTTAGTGCATTATTGTTTATTTGTTTTTTCATCTTTTATTAATACAGCCTCCCAGTTGGCAAAATAATACCGATTACATCCTAAGTTAGCATTAAAAAAACATTATGTGTGGAAATTGGTGTGTATCATATTGTAGCTGTTACTGACTATTGCTGATGTTAAAAAATGTGGATGGATGTTCTTCGGATTAGAGGTCACGTTGTTGATGCTGCAGTGGTGACTGCCTTTTGGTTCGACATTGTAGGCCTGACATCAAATGGAAAAGGTAAAGGAGCCTTCATGCTATATATGACAAAATGATTTGATATGATAGAAATAGCTCCAACTGAAGCTTCTCTCAAGTGCACAAAATTGATTGACTAAATGTCATTTTGAACCATAAGCTGAAAGTAATTTATGTCAAATTAATAGCGGTTGAAATTATAAGAGATTTATGCTTTTTTAATAACAAGTTCTTTTTTTTTGTTATTACTTTAATGTTGTGTAGTGAATGTTTATTATAAACTATAAGTGTATGGATGTTGTTACTTTTAAGACAATTATAATCAAGTGGCTTCAGCTTAAAATTTCTTTTTTTTTTTTCAACTATGATTGCATGTACAAATTCTGAATTAGATTTTAACTCTTTCCTTTCTGAGTCTCACTTACTCATTAGATTTTAACTCTTTCCTTTCAAGTCTAACTTACTCTGTATTGCTTATTTCCTGCGGCTTCTATTAACCCATTGTATTCTGTGTGTAGATTTAAGGAATAGTTTTTGTTCCAGTTCATATTTATTGTGTTTGGTATATTTTGAGTTTTAGTAGCAATTTGGTGCATCTCAAGATGTCTTCAGGCTTTTTGATGAGTGCTAAGACCTAGATATAAGGAAATTTTAAAATTACTATGTGCATGTTAATGTGAATGTCCATGTATGCATGTAGTATTAAATTATGTCATGCTCCAAGCATTGAACCTTATCTTGGAGTATTTATAAAGTGATATTTAACTGTTATACTATTAATTTAATTTAAAGGTGTAAAAAAAAAACTATTTTCTTTGCTCTATTTTTCTACTTGAGACTAGGATTGCTGATTGCTTCCCACCTAAAGAAGAAGAAGAAATAAAAAAAAAACAAGATGGCAATTGAACAACTTCTACAATTGGATCCAACAAAAGCATTGTTGTCATCTCACTCATAAATTTTAGTTTATTCATATTGTTTTATAATTTGCAATGCATCAAACTCATTTATTCTATATTTTACTTTCATATGGAATACAAAGTACAAATGTGAAACTAGGATCATATTGATGTCTTGCAAGGATGGTTCTATAATTCTTGCAACCAATGCAACAAAACACTCATACCATGTGTACAAAAGTTCTGGTGTCTAGACCACATTGATAAAATCGCTGCATTAAGGTGGGTTTAAACATTATTTGCCTAAAAATTTTGTAACATAATATATGCGCATAGTAAAACTATTTTTTGTGAAATACAGCTGCGAAATGCCTATCACAGTCGAAGACTCTACAGGCATAATGTAGTTCATGTTCTTTGGAGATCCTGAAAAAGTTGCCTCACTGCACTTACAAATCTGGATCCCATGATTGTCCCATGCCTACTGGAGCAAGCACAAAATGAAAAAAAAAAAAAAAATCTTTTAAGCGGCCATCGCAAAACAGTTCATTGAAACATGAATCCCTCATTTTTCCATTAATGCAACCTACTCAGTTGACGTTCCCAACAACTCAAGCATTCTCCTAGCTCAAAACTCAACAAATGCTATGGGGTCACGCTTTGGAGGGCAACAAAACCAGCTTCAAAAATTGCAAATTGCAAATTGCTAATACTTCATATCCACCTTCAGAAATAGAAACCAAATGTAACCCACGCACTAAAAAAAACCCAATGGATGACCCAAAAATGAAGAACAATCCAATCATCTTGAACAGCTGCTGCTCGTTGCTGGTGTGCTGCTAACTCCAAAGGCTCTGACTCAACAAAACAAACCTTAAACTTTTGTGCCTAAAGAATCTGCAGCAAAAAAAAAAAAAAAAAGGAAGAAGAAGAAGAGCAGGTATGAACATTACATGAAACTTTTAATAACAAATGTCTTTCAGTTCTATGCCTATTTTGTTGTAATGCCACAGACAAAGGCAAAGTTCTACTATAATAAAATATGCATGTGCCATAGAGCTGCACTTTAATACACAGTTCTGGAAGGGATTTGTGATGGAGCAGCACTTTAATACACAGTTCTTGAAGGGATTTGTGATGGAGCTGCACTATTATATATTTTGTATATGATAGTGACCCTTCAAAGATTATTGTTTAGTTTGCCTCATTTTCCAGATCGCTACTCTCTAAAACTTAAGCCTTGTACTGCAATCTTATGTTTAGAGTATAGGTAACTCTTAATTCGTTGACAATTCCCACACTATATGTCACACCATTGTGTTTAGAGTATAGCTAGCTCTTAACTAACATTCTATGTGATTATTAATTGTAATTAGATAAGTTGAACTTGGACTACTCTGTTTAGATTTTCGCGTAAATTATCATGTTACTTTCTAACCGTTAACCTCTTGTTTTTCCATGATGGCTTATAGCTTCTGTTTTAGCTACCTTTTGGTCTTTTTGTATTATGAAATTTAAGCAACTATAATTTAATTTCTAACCTTATGAACTATTTTTATATTATATTTTTATCATGCTTTTATTATATAAGATTTAGTTATTTTAACAAAGTGGACTGTCCCACAGCATAGCGCGGGTGTTTCTCTAGTATATGTGAAGATGATACAATGTTAATTGATAAGAAATAAACTGACTTATCCATTTCCCTTTCAAAATTGTGCCAGAAATTTTCAACCACGATATGAAATAATTACCAAAAGAAAGCAATATGTACCTTATCATCATCTATTGCTTGGCAAAATAATCCTCTATATTTGGTTATTTGCCTGAACACAACCTTCTACCTTTATGTTAAAAATGAAAAAAAAAAAAGTGGTATTACAATATAAGTAAAGAGAAGTAAGTACAATGTTGTTTATGTTTGTTAGTGTGTTCAATCTTGCATGGAGAGGGGCATGGACTTGTACTAAGAGGAACAAAGAGAGAAAATATCTTATAACGATCCGTTCATGTAGTCCCTGTACTTGTCATACATCATGCATTCATCGATAATATCTGCCTCGGACGGCTTTGTCTCTGATATATTTATCTGTGGGAAGTCTTCTAGCTCTAATGGTGGATATGGAACCTGAAAATGAAGATTTGTGTAGCCTGGCATCTGCATTTCCTTCATTCATCAACACACATGTGAAATGAGATTTTATTCATCAAACAAATTGCAATGATTAACAACAAAAACATGGGCATTTTTGTTGAAATTAAGGCCATTTTTTAGATTTATTTTACAAAAGAAATCACAGTTTGAAGATAAAAAAAATATTTTACAGGAATCGGAATTTGAACTCCAGAGTTTTTGGATACTAAATACTAGATATTAGATATACTAGATTATTAAGGGGATAAATTAAGCGAAGGAGCTTGAAGGATTACTTTATCTCATTATGTAACTTTGCTAATGAATTAGGTAGGAAAGAGTAAATGTTGAGTATTTCAGAAATTATTTAAATCCAAATTGAAATGAGTTTGAAGCGTCCAAAGTAGATGGTTATATGAAAAGAAAAAGAAAAAAAAAAAAAGCAAAGGGGTTTCTGAATAGAAAATTTGTGCAAATTCTGACTACAATGAGAAGAAAGAGAAATATGTCACATTGGAGATGTTGAAAAATTAGCTGTGTTGAAAATGGGGAAGAAAGATGTTTGAGTCAGTCAAAAGAAGTTATGGAAGATGGTTAAGAAAGCCATGGATCTGAGTCGGTCCAAGAGATCAGTGGGGGTTGAGCTTTAGGAAAAGAGAGTGAGTATCGTTGCTTCCAACTTTTGTTACTTTAAGATCAAAAGCCAACTCAAAGTGGTTGTTTGGTGGGCCAATTCCAACGCAAACAGATCAGCTTATTGTCCTTTCATGTGTTTGTGTGAATGCAACCTAAGTGTTGGATGAAGACTTGAGTGACTTTGAAGCCTTTGGTGATAAAGCAGGCAATAAAGCAGAATATTGCTGTAAAAATCCAGTGTTGGCAAAAGAGATAATCATGTCATGAAGATAAAAAGACGTCTAAAGCAGATTTATTATTATAAGAATCATTGGATGGCCCATTGCAATGCCCTAATGCATGCATATCATGGCTTATGATTTTTTTAATCTTACGTCAACTTCAACCACCGGTAATTTTTATTTTTTTTTGGTAACACGGTTATGGAGAAATCCTTGTTGAAATTCTTGTCAATTATATTTTGATATAAAATATTAAAAAATTCAATTAATCAAGTTGTTGTAAATATAATAATATTTCGTAACGAGTTTTCAGTTATTAAAAAATGGAGTTAGTAAAAATCCATTTTCGTACCTGAATTAGGTTCGCGGAGAAATCCACAGCAGGAGAACATAAATTAGCTGAACTGTTGGATTCATCTGAGGTAAATGGAGGTTGATAATGGTCTCGCATGCCAGTTTCATTGGGTGTTCCTTGAGTGACATCCGAAGAGGAAGTATTGACATTCTCATCTTCAACTTCAACTTCAATTTCTCTCCCTCTTGAAATTTCAGTTCCACTTGCATTGTCACCAGAGAATTGTTCATCTGATACGCGACCCACTTCTTTCTCTACATTATTATTCTCTTCTTTTGTTTTAGGAATTTGTATGTTTTTCTTGAAGATGCGACATAAAGCATAAGAGTCCTGTTTTGCATAATTACTAGTATCAATCATTACTTCGATCAATTTAATTTACTTAAGTAGAAAAATAGTGTCATGCAAAGTGTTTAACAGAATATTACAAAGAGGTAAAAAGAAGCAGGAATAAATTAAAAGAAAGAAAGATCGTTACATTAGCTAGTAAACCTATAAAGTGTAGTAATAGAGTTAATAATTTTAAACACAACACGATCACATAACATACAAATAATAAGAAAGCAATAAGTTAAAAATTTTAATCAAAATTATATACGACTTAAAAAAAAAGTGTCAATGCGAATGTAATGTAATAAATTTTTGTGTTTACGTATTTGATATTTTATAAAAATAATATAAATATACGAATCGCAAATATATGTGAAAGGTTAGAACCAAAAAGTCTTTCTCCTAATCATTTTGATACAAAGGACAGGAGCATCTGTAAATGATTTTATATGGAATACACCATATATTTTTACCATTTACCTCTAAATGATATTGCTTGGGAGTGTTTTTGTTTTTGGAAAATGGACGTTCAAACAAAAGTTGACAGGTTAAGAAGTGTAGATCTCACTTGAGTTTTTTGGAATTAAGTTCATATCGCTTAGACTGAATTCCAATATCCAAATGGAAATTGCATATTCAGATATTAAAGTTGTGCAAAGAGGATTAATTTCTACCTTTAAACTTGATGGAGCAGTGGCAGAAACTGAGTCTACCAGGCGATACTCATGCATTACCCAGTTAGTTCTTATACCACGAGGAGCCCTACCTCTGTAATAAACCAATGTCTTCTTCAAGCCAACCGCCCTCTTCTGAGACAGTATTGCCCTGTCCTTTCCGGTAGCTTTCCAGTGTCCGCCACGTGTTGCCCTGTTCGTCCTTGAACCATTCGGGTACTTCTTATCCCTTGGGCTATAGAAATACCACTCCATATCTTTGCTTGGTAAAAATGATTTATCTGTTACAACCATTGGATTATTTCAAGTTCTTCAGAGTATCAATGCCAATGAAGAGTCCAACAACAGAAGAATAAAAAAAGGAAAGAATAATATTACCTGGTAAATCCCATGGCTCGCATTTGTAGAGATCAACCTCAGGGATAATTTCAAGCTCAATTGTGTGACCAGTGATTTTCCTATCCAGATAGTAAGCAACAAGCTCTTCATCAGTTGGATGAAACCTGAATCCTGGAGGGAGACTCATGGGAGCCATGGCCCATGACAGTACTGTTCTGACAGAGGGATGAGAGATACAGAAGAGAGGGCAAAAGAAAATGAAAATGGGCAGCTTTGAATTTGACAAAACACAAAATAGCCGTCCTACTTCTTCATTTGAATCTACCACTGTTTGCATATGTAGACATTGTTTTTATGAGAATGATTGGTGATTTAAAGCAGAGAGAATATGATATATTTATGATGAGAATGATTGGTGATTTAAAGCAGAGGGAATATGATATATTTATGATCATGATGAATAAAGAAACTGGCTTTTGCAGATTCTGTGTAACGATTTGTGTGAAAATCCATTGGGAGGATAAGAAGCTTCACTGCTTTTGTCTGCTCATAAACTAACAAAAACCAGAGCTCCTCTCAAAAAGGTGAGGTAGGCCACTAAGCCGTCCATACCCTACAACACGCACTACTAGGCTTCTCTACTTATTCCCCCATGTCTCACTATTATTAGTTTAATAATAAAAATTGAATCCAAAATTGAATTGTTGATTTCGTAAAGTTATTTTTTAAAAATAATATTTTATAAATTTAAATTTAAAATATAATTATTTAAATTACTTCTTTTTTATACATATTAAAAAGAACCAATAAAAATTTAATGCATTATCATTATAAATTTAAATGTGTATCATACAATTCCATCCTTGTATTCTAGGCATGTGAAAAAGATTACCGTATAATCAAAGAACAACTAGATATGTTCTTTTATTTGAGTTTGATCACAATTCAAATGAATCATGAATTTAATTTTTATTCAAAGATTTTTAAAAAAATTTTAAAAATTACATTATTATAAATAGATCTCTCTCTCTCTCTCTCTCTCTCTCTCTATATATATATATATATATATGCACAAGTAAAATATATCTACTTGAAACAAAGGGTTATATGAAAGACTTTTAGACACATAATTATTACCATATAATTTTTATTATTATTTGTAGACATTTAATTTTGTTTGATTGTATCTCAGTCAAATTCTTCAATTAGATTCAATAATGTCTTGATTTGTTTAAGACTTTGATATTCGAATTTCATGTGTACATAAAATTAATTCGTTTTTAAAAATTTACAACTCAATCTTTTGATCAATTAAAATTTTAATCCATGTTAGGTTAAATGTTGATCTTGATATTTGCTTGAGGGCTACAGAATTCGTTTTTAGATAATTTAACTTTAATTAGGCTTTAATGTTGCTTACTCTGATTGGGCCTTGAGTCCAAATTCTTATTTGGGCATTCAGCCCAAATAAAATGACCTAAATTCAATTTTTCATTTCTTTATTTTTTTTATTTATATTTTCTTTGATTTTAATAAAAATTTGGAAAAAGGAAATTTGAAAAGAAAAAAATATAAAAAAAATTGGAATCGAATTGCAAAATTTTTGGAAAGTTCAAAGGATTGAGAATCAAGGAAAATCACAATTGGGAAGACTTGAGGCTGAAGAAAAATAAAACAAAATGGAAATTGAATCTGCTTGGCATTATTGCATTTGTGCATACATTTTTCATCCACAAGCATTCTTTCTTTTCAGTTATCCATGAATAAAAATATCACTACTAGATTTTGGGACAACAGTCTCGAAAAAACTTTTAAGCACAAAAATTCGTCAGTGATAATGCCAACCGTAACCGAATAGTGATTTTGTGACAAAATATTTCAACGTATGATTCAGATGTATTGTGACAAAGTTAGTGACGGAATTGTGACGGATTTGAGGCAGATAAAAATTTCGTCACATTGCGTTGGAGGGAAACCAAACAAAATTTTGGCGACTTAATTCTGTAATGAATATTCCGTCACAAACACTGAGAAATTCATTAGTGACCAAAACGTGACATATTTGTGACAGAATGGAATAAAAAATATTTTAAAATTTAATTACTTTTTCCTAAAGAAAATGAAGTTGCTTTTTAATGATAGACATGGTCACAACATTGAAATAGTTTTGTATGATGGTACCAGTGACGGTCTTTCAACGAAATTAAATAAAATATTTTAAAATTTAAAGACTTTTTTTTTCTAAAATGAAGTTAGTTTTTAGTGTAAAAAATGATGACCAATTAGCCTATTATCATCATGTGTAAGTCTGAAAATATATCGCTTGACACAATAAGAGAAGTCACCACTAATATTTTTTATTTAGATACAATCGATCACTTAACTGAATCGATTCCCTTTTAAAAAGAAATTCTAAACTTAACTTAGATTCCTTAAAAAATAAATTTTAATTTACAAAATCAGACAAAGTCTAAGAGTATGATTACGTGCAGAGAATGCTATAACACTCTCACAATACTCATCCAAAAGATAGTACCAATTAATTTCATATTATACAAATGCTAAAAAAATCTTATTAAGTAATTAATTATAAAAAATTATTCTTAAATTATTCTAATATATTGATAATAATTTAAAAATATTTTCTCATCTCAAAAGTAATTAAATAGATCATTTGTCACGCTTGAAGAAACTCTAAAAAAAACTTTATTTATGAAGAATGCAACTTTCATGAGAATCTTTGATATTGAAAATTTTTTTTAATTTTTCTAATAAGTTGATAAAATTTTAAAAAAATTTCTCACCTAAAAGTTTACATTTAAATTGCTATTTTCAAGATTTTCAGTAATTCTATTATCAAAAATTCAAAACCAATTTTTATAAAATTGCACATTTAGATAGAAATTTCAATATCATTATTAACATTCACTTCTTAATAAAATAGAAAAGGAAAGAAAAAATGAAATATTTGGAAAAGAACATAAAAATTAGAAATAATATAATTGGAAAATAGAGAAGTTTAGTATTTCTTAAAAAAAAAAAATTGTTGATGAAACCTATTCATGGGAAAGAATACGATTTCTTGAATATTCTTTAGGTGAGAAAAAATTTTAATAATTTTGTCAAAATGTTGAAAAAACCTACGGATTTTTTTTAATATTTTAATAATGAAATTTAATCAAGATTTAGTTAAAACTATATTAAGATAATATAAGATTAATTGATATGATTTTTTAAACGAGTGCTGTAAGAGAGTTAATTTCTTCTCTCTAATGTAATTGAGTTTTAAACTTGATTCTAGATATAGATAAAAATTTATTCTTTTAAAGAATCTTAATCAAGCTTATATTTTTTTACAAGAAATAGATTAAATTAGGTGACTAATTATCACACTTAAATAAAAAAGATTGATGATACCTTCTTTTTAAACTTATAATCATTTACTGATCATATGAAATAGTTTGAGAGGGAGAAGAATTAAGAGTGAAATTTGATAGCATGGCAATATGTAATTGACATTCACCCATGAGTATGTGCATTCTTATTAAAAAGAGTTTTGGTTAGTGATCAGAGTTTGAAGCTCCCTTTGGCGTAAGACCTTTTTGTTTTCTTTACCAACCGTCCTGCCTAACTTTTATATAATGCTAGAGCGAGCTTCAAATCAATACCGAAGAAGGAGCTTTTGATTTTTTATAAAGAGATTCCAAGTCTAGCTGATCTTCTTTTCCTCATTCGGATGGAAAATGGTAGCCAAATTGATCATTCTCATTCAGTTTTTTTTTTTTTTTGTCTATATTTGACATGGAATTTTTGTATATAAAAAAAAATCACAATCTGATAATAGATGAAAAAATTGCATGTATTAAAATTTAAATCTCACATTTTTTGTTTTAGATTTAAATTCTATGTTTATTTATTGTTACCTTCTAAAAATAACTATATGAACCGAGTTAATATCCAATATAGCTTTTGCTTATTTGGATGTTAAATGTATAGAAATCTAAAGCACGCAGCCTTTTCACACGATCTTAGGGTTGATAAAGCAAAAGCAAAGCAAAGAGCAAAGAAAAAGCCAAGGGCAAATGGGAGCCGATGGGAGATTGTAGAGTGGTAGTTGTTGGGTCAGCAGCATTTGATTCTAACATTTCGGCTCTGTCGACCATTTTAGTTAGTGAACACAAAATGCAAATGTTGAGATTCTTCTTTTTCATTTCAGGACGATATGTTATTTTCATTGGATTTGATAATTCATATAAATGTATTATCTAAAATATTGATAATTTATATATTTTTATCATTTTTTAAATAAAAATTATATATCATAATTTATGTTAATAAAAAAATATAAAATATATATTTTTAATTTTATCAAATTCATATATAATTTTACTAAAATTTTAAATTATATCACTTTTATTTTTTTCATATTAATTTTATATAATATCACCGTTATCATATTTTAAAGTATAAAATTTAGCTTTTATGCTGGACTTGCTAACTAAAGGTTCATTGTTTTCCAATCTTCTACTTCATTTACGGGATGTGTAGTCGACTACTGCCCTTCTACTCTAGCCCCACCAACATTATTGCCTGTTTGGGACCAACAGTAAACTCATATTAAGAGGGCTATCCACATCAAGTCAATAATGAAACAATAATCTTTTTTTTTTTTGGCAAAATAACTAGAACTCACCAATTCTAGCTATAATAACTTTATTATCATAAAACAAAATATTATTAGAAAATTATATTGTTAATGTAATATATTGTAACATTATGTAATTAAATAATAAATGTGATATTACGGATTATGATATTATAATCTTAAATATTATAATAATTATAATATTATAATTTTTAATATTAAGTTTGACTACATAAATTCATAATATTAAAGAGTATTAAATTAACATACAATAATAACAACATACTAAACCTTACATTAGCATAAATAAATCAAAAAATAATTTTCGCTTAAATAAACCTTACATTAGTATAAGCCCAAACACATGGACTAATGACGGATGAATAAATGCTTGAGAAGATGGGCAATGCTCGAGCCTATATAAGCCTAGATCAAGGTCCAGTGGGAGAGGCCCAATGCGAGTCAATATATTTAAGCGGTTTCAATATTAAGAATATTTACCAGCTTAAAGATAGTGATGGAGATCTTTCGTCATTATGGAGCAAATTTTG